GTCCACGGTCCTACTCTGGAAACGATGATGCATACAATGGACTCCGGACTAGGTGCGTTTCTTTAAGACTCCCTACAAATATGACCGAGTTGCGAAAACAAGGTCAAACAACTTTGTTTGGATTGTTGACGTTCTCGATGCTTTAAACGGGGCCGATGCTGTTGACCTGCTCAAAGCTGCCAACTTTTTCGAAATTTCTGACATTGTCAACGTTGTCACATTTGTCGACGTCGAAGTTGCAAACTTTGTCGAATATGTTCACGTTGTTCACGTTTTCCGCCCTGCCGAGGTAGTCAGGGTTGCTGAATCCGTCGGTGGGTGAAGCCGTTGCCATGACAACTGCGGGGTTCTCTTGGACATGGATAAAGTCAGCGAGTTGAGATGGTTCTTTGCTACGAACGAGTCGAATAGGGACTTAAAAAGACGAACCAGGTGACCGGCTCCCGCCCAGCTTTAGGCGAAGATGTCGTCATGTGCACCTGAGTTTGGCCCGGCCCTTGTGGGTAAACTAATGAGTGGGTCGTGATCGCTTGACTCAGCCTTCTTGTCGTCGCCAAAAAATTAAAACAGTGACCCTTTTGAAGAGCAGCTCTGAGTAACCGCCGGAGCAGTGAGCCGGTCAGCAGAGCCCATCTGTACCTCGTCGGGGAGACGGCACGCGACGACTTTGCCGGTGCCGAGTCGGTTTAGAGGGCGTCGATCGTTTTTGAATGGGATGGTTGTGTTTTCTACACCACAACATCATTAAAAGATCTCCTTGCCAAGAGGTCTGGCATCACTTGGCGATGCTATTTGGGCTCGAACCATGCTCTCGTCAAGTGGAGGAAACACAGCCACGAGTGGCGTGGCCAATTGGCCACGTACCGGTTGTGATTACTTCACAGCAAGACAGGCTTCTGCCAAGGTACAGTTCTCCTGCGAAACTGGCGTTAACAAGTTCTGGCCGGCGCCTACGGAGTTTCGACTGTAAATGTGTGCGAAGAGTTGGTAATTTGCCATTAATGTACTGCCTACTTATTTGTTAGATAGTAGTTTAGGTTGATCTTGCGGGGTGAAATACAATTTCTGAGGTGTGATGATAGGCTGAATTAAGAAAGATGACTAAATTTGTTATTGAGTCAGAAAAGAACGGTATATTACCCTTTTTAGACGTCCTGACTATTAAAGCAGCACACAAATTAAGTAGGGATGTATATAGAAAACCAACACATGCGGGTTTACTTTTATAATTTGTTATAAAATCATTTTTATTTTGTTAAAATAGGGGTTATTAATTCAATTTTATTATATAAATAATATATTATATACATATATATATACTATATTAGATCAACGCGATGCTATGCCTCCTAATGCATATGGTCTATATACAATTCACGTATG